ACATGGGGATAAACAGCTGAAAAAAGGAAAAGAAATGAAATTATTGCACACACTTTTCTGTTAAGATGTCATGAAAGGCTGAGTTTCATGGGATTCAGTCTGGTATGGAAGAAAATTGCAAAAGTGCCTATTGAGCAACTGTTCAGAAAACAATAGTAGAATTTCCTAGTTCCTGATATTTTACTTTTTAGTTTTACTTGGGCAATCTGAGTCCTAGTTTCTCATAATTACCAGAAGAAAGCAATAAGTTATTTCACTTATAAGAAATATAGCAAAAATAATGAACTCAAGATGTAGCTTGGCTATCTTTTTTCTTTAGCAGAGGCAGAACATGCCAAACCGAATGACCCAGAGTGAGGCAAAAACCAAGCCTGATTGGAAAAGATCTTCTCTCCTGCCAAGAGAAATGTAGCACTAAAGGCCTAACTACACATATAATGGAACCCTAATAGCTTTTAAAAATAACAAACATTCCAAATTGCCCCCTGCCCACCCAGATTGTCCCTACTGAAAAGAAAAAAAGCAACAGCCACTAGAGTTCAGTTCGATTATGCACATTTGCCTGTAATATACAGTTATTTTTAACATAATTTAGAACATCTAAAACTATTTAGATGTTTATAGCACCTCTCTTCCATGAACACTTGGGGAGATATACAAATCGGATGCTAACTCAGCCTCTGAGAAGATAATTTGTTTGAACTTCATGTGCACTCTCCTGTCATTAAATTACCTTTTAATTACACCACCACCACCACACACACACTCAAAATTAAACTGAAGGATAACTCAGTTTAGCAAAGAAGACAAAGTACATACAGAGTGCAGATGTGAGTACACTGCAATCTAGTCTTCAACAAATCTAGTCCTTGTACAAAAATAAATGTTATCTCCATTTTTAAGGTGAGTGCAAGCACAGATAAAATTTTATGCTTGCAGTAGAACGACAGGTACAATTTATATACTCTCTGCTCTGCCTTCGCAGACACAAGAATGAACAAAAGTCCCTTATGGAACAAGAACATTAATAAATTACTGTAATCCAGTGGGTTGCATTTGATCTGCACGGATCATGATAAACAAGCAAATCAATCCTGGAATACAAAGGAAGATTTATTGAAGAAAATAATACTAAATGCATTTCAAATACTTCATCAGGGAAATTAAAGCACTGCTGTATAAGCTGCAGGCTAATGCATGAAGGCTTTTTATTAAATGGGAAAAGGGGTTTATATTTTAAAATGCCTAAACTCAGAATGTAAAAGCAAACAGGCTTGGCTATATGTACCTCGACATTCCCTCCAGACGAATGACTGGTAATATAACCGCAAGAACTCTAGTCACAGAAAAATCTCCTGGGTAAACTGATAGTGTAAAACACTGGAAAAAGCATCCCTTTAAGTAATAACTGACTGAAATCGTAACTATTGTTATGATCACTCTTTCCTTTCTGTCGGAAGAGAAAAATATTCCAGGCATGCAGAGAGTTCTTTTTAAAACTTTATTGCAATGAAGGGAACAGAAAAAAGATGGTTTCTTTCCCATTTTTCTGTTCACCTGAGCAGATGTTCACACACCCCTTTTGAACCCTGCTCCCAGCCGCTTGTTCCCTCCTCCTTTTCCCTAATTGGCTAATAGGGTACTGAGAGTTTACACTCTTTCTGCCCGCCTACTCCGCGCTTTCCCAATCCGGCCCTGCCCCTAGTGGGCTACAATAGGCTCATTTTGTTCTGTTCTGTCCAGCTTGTCAATAAATAATCAGGAAGTATTTGGCCCTCCTGCCTACATGCCTGTTTCCCCATACCTTGTGCTATGTGATTTTGGCCCTTCCCCTCCTCTGGGCTAAGTAATTTTCTTTGTTACCCTTTTAAATCTCTTTACTCCCTTGTTTCAAATCATCTTTTCACACCTGTCACTATGCACAGCAAAAGAATCCCAAGGAAATGTGACAACGTGTGATACCCAATGAGTGTAGAATATTAACCGCCTAACACTTCTGAAGCGGTACTCTAACAAAGGCAAAGAGTAGAATTGTGGAAGAATAGCAAATATTTGCAGTCCTGGTTTTCTGCACTTACAACACCTAAGCACTGAGATACTCCACTGAGGAACAAATGTGGACCCACACTAGGTGTTTAGTATAGCATCACTGTGCTTTATGGGATTTCCACACAACACCATTAGACTATTGCTGCCAACCTGTATTTTCCCATGGCTCTATCTTGTTTCTGATTGCAGAAATTTTGATTTGTTTAATACAAAAACAGAAGAGGGGCACAATCATCAAAGGCAGATATAATTTAGCACTATTCTTTCATCCTCTTAAACAGTGGAGTTTTGATAAGGGTAGTATCAGAAAAGTGAACCAACTCAGCACAGATTCACTGTAACTTTTGAATGGTGTTTTAATATCATAATCCTCTACTATCAAGTTTGTTTTGTTTGTGTGTTTATTTTAAAAAATCACACTTACCAGACTTCATCAAAGTCAGCAACCAGAAAGGATTTTAATTTTTTTTTTTTTAAGATTGTCCTTATTGTATTACAGCTCTATAGCTCTCTTTGGATAATATAATGCTATAGCATAACAATGCTATATTAAGTTATTTTCTATATTATTACATATATTCTCTGTGTGAGCTATATTATTAAGCTATAATATTAAGTTAATTAATCATTATTTTCATATTAAGATACTATATTGCTCTAACACAATATTTTTAAAATGATTTTAAAACTTTATGATTAGTGATAGTGATCAGTAAAGGGTGAGATTGAAAATAAACATACATACATTTATGATCTGATTACATTCTGCAGCTATAGTGCTTTGCCTCTCTTTCATTTAGAGCTTCTCTGCTTCAGGCATTTATTGGGCACTGGTGATCCCTCACAGACGTTTGTGGGGCCTTTTCATGACATTTTCCTCCAGGGATTCTACCATGTTTTTCATCCATTTCCCAGGGTATTTTAGAATGAGGGAAGTCAGTTATTAAATTTCAAAGTGCAACAAACAGGAACAAAAGCCTTGGGAAAAGTTGCAAATCCATTACCTAGCCCCGCCTTGCAGTGGGTTAACAGGATACACAGACAAGCTGAGATGTGAAGGACACATTTTTCCTCCCACAGTGAAAATGGAAGCAGCGTTAATAGCATAGGGTTAAAGCCCTCATGCAGAGAAGCCCTTCAAAAAGTTGAATTTAACTGGGAAACAGTTTCCTGATAAATATGATTCAAAACAAATTCAGCATCATTAAACACCACGTACTGCAAAGCTTATAATACATGCGTGCCAAACTTTCTACGGCCCCACCCAAGAAACAGCAGGAAGTACAGATGGAGCACAATGTAATTCATCTAGAGCAAAAAGTCAATTTCAATTCTACTTGCTTGCAACAGACAAACACTGAGTGGGTGAGAGATGCCCGTCAGAAAGCAGCCCATGCCACCATTAAAAAATGCAAAACACATAGGCAGCTGTAGAGTTATGTGCGGGTTGCTGAATTATAATAATTTCCTCTCAGATACTTTGGGTAGTGACAAAGTAAAATAAAATTAAACAACCTTTGTGCAAGGTGCTAATTTTGCTCCTACCCCCTCTTCACTTTTAAGGTCTATACATACAACTATGAGCAGAAACCGTAATGTTTCTGCATGGTTGTAGGGTTGTGCATTGTGGATTATCCTGCATTCCTCCAAACATTAGGAAGCTCTACTCCATTGAGGAATACCCAGATCCCAGCATCTTGGTTGTGAAGATCTTACAAAGGGATGCTGAAAGCAGTCTCCTAGAATAATCCATGTGTGAGGCAGGAGGGAGATGCCACTGTTCCTGTTTTATTTGCAAAATGTTCCTAACTTTAATAGCTGTGGCATAAATGTGAAATGCTGTTGACAGCCACGCCCACTCGGGAGCCAGCCTTCCATGAGCCCTGAGCCGATCAACTAAAGCGGCCATCCAAGCAACCCCACTGAGCAAAAGGTGCAGTGGCATCCAGGTGTATTTGTAGTGTAATGCTTCCATAGACAGCAATACAGCATTGATGAGGATGTAGGAAGCCCACTCCACAGCAAGGCACAAGTCACACTGGCCCTCCTGGGGTCTCTGGAAAGTCACACCCCTCTCCTCCAGCCCTACTCACTTTATTGCAACCACAGATTGTTTGGCCGCTCCCTGCCCTTTGTGCGTGTGTGTGGTGGGTGTTCCCTTCAAAGAAAAGAAATGCCCCTCCTGAGATTTTGTTAGCTTTAAGCTAAAATACGTCAGCGGGTAGAAACCCCATCTCCTGTGCCTTCAGTCCTACCCACCACTGGAATGCAGCCTCAGAAAGCTTCTTTGATATTGCATTCAGCCCTTGGGCTGCAAGAGGTTTCCTACCTCTACTGAAACCAAAAAGGAGCAACAGATTCATGACATGTAGCTCCAAGAGTTATTAATTTAGCTTAAAATATTCCTAGGTTGTCTTTTAGGACAGGTGCCATTTCAAGATGTCTCACAACAATAAAATTCATATAAAAATACAGGCAAACATTTATAAAAACAACACCAGAAGAAGATGGAATCTCTTAAACAATTGCCATTACAACCCAGAATATTCCAATAATGAGGACAAAGCCAGGGTAAATGAGCAAGTCTCCACTGTCTTATACAGATATACACGGTCCACAAATACTTGCTACCTTGGATGTGGTTATCTTGGAAGTGTGAAAACAACCATCTATTAAGATGTCAGAGTATTTTTCTAGCTTGTGTGCAGAGGATAACAAAGTCTTAGGAGCCACAAAGAGCTGACACAATGCAATTCTCTCCCCGCCTCCACAAATCCATTCTCACTTCATTAATATTTCCTTTGCTTTTGCAGTGCTGTGATTAAAGATTCCCTGGGCCTTTCATGTACTTCTAAACTATCACGGTACTAATTCAGCCACAATATTAGCTCTAAAGAGACACTGCCATACAGCTTCAGAATGGTCCCTTTTCTGCTTGGCTTTTGACTCACCAAAACCTGAAAAAGCAGAATCGTCATGCAAGCTGTGTTGGCCATTTTTGGTGACATCTATGAGGCAATCCATCTATGACAAGTCACAGTGCACTGCTGGGTCCAATGTCATTCTTTAGAAAATACATCCGACATCTTCGCATGAGCCAACAACTGAAGCCAATTCTGAAATCAAGAAGCAATTCAAAGCAGCTTGAACTTATGAAGGCAAACACTGTGGACACATTTGATACCTCGGAAATGCTTTCTCTCCATGCTTTCTGGGAATCCATAAAGTAGTATTACTGTCGTAAGCCGTCCAGAGATGAACCATAATGGATGGGTTAGAAATACCCTAATAAATAAATACATGGTTCACACTTTTTTTTAAAGTTCTGATTATCCAGCAAGCTTTAAAAAAGCCAAAAAGAGGAGGAGGAAGAAGAGGCCTCGAATAGTAATAAATATAACAAGCTGTCAACAAGTATAGTTGCTTGGCATTTATACAGTATAAATTTAAGGTATTCCATTTTTTTGAACAAACATTCACACAGTTCCACACCACCTTTCCTCTCCTATGAACAGGAAGTTAGTGACATTCAGCCCTGCAACCGGGATGTTGCTTGGAGGTGAACATGAAGAACACTTGCAGGATTTGTAGAGGCAATTCCTTCATATCCATAATGTCTCTTTGGTGTCCGTCTCATGCAGGTACTTGAGCTGTGTCTGAGCTGCACTGCAGGGACTTGTGTGATTGAATGATTCTTCACACAAAAAATAGGAAAGGCTGGATAGGAAAGAGTTAAGCCTGCTCTTCTGCCACTCATATACTGCCCTACCTCTGACTGTTTTGTCTAGATGAGGAAGATGAAGATGATCACAGAACCTCACTTAAAAGGTAGCAAAATTCTACCTGACACCTTCTCCACCCCACCACCATAAGCCTCGCTGTAAGCTCCCAGGTTCTCAGCCACGAGGTCTTTATAAGCCTAGAAGTTGTGTACCCTTGTTGCTCTTGGACAGTTAAACTTGACCCTAGTTGTGCTTCTAGAAAAGAGGAAAACTATGCAAGGCAATGCACAACTATAAAATATTAAAGAAAAACCCATTCATAAAGGAAATCTGCCATGAAAAGCAACACAAGAAAATAAACCACCACCCAAGCCCCACAAAAGCATCAGCAAGAACCATCACTAACTCACATATCTGCACTGATTAAAGAAAACAGAAGAAGAAGAAAATGCTTCAGCTGAATTCATAAGTAGTGAAGTAGATTAGTTGGCTTCCTGGGCAGAGCTACTACTCAGTAGTAGAACTAACACTGAGATAACCCTGACCTGATCCTTGGAAAGAATGGCATACAACCCCATGGACTGGTCTGCAGGACTGATGTATAACTACATTAATTACTCATGTATACACAGATGATATACATGGGGAAAAACAAATCCCCCTCCATGGTTCTCTTCTTGGCCATCATTATTGGAGAAGTAAGCCCTGCAACACAATTTTGCAGTATGTGATGTAGTGCTAGCCGGGATTCCACTCCATGCCATTCTCTCATCCTGCACCCCACAACAGTCAGCATTCCATACTCACTGCACATGCTCAGACCTCATCGTGCCGGGGCAGGGGAGTTTGGAGGAGACTCCCAAAGTGAGACTGGCTTTGCCTTAGGATATACCTGCAACCATACCATGTCATATAATGACATCACAGTGAAACAAGAGAAAGGCTTATTAGCAAGCAGTGCTAGAGTTAGAGCAAAAGACAGTCTTGCTCAGCACCTAGTGTTGTGTGGCTCTTATTTTCTTTCAGAATGGCTGTATCCGTGAGTTGCACATATGCCGTGGCCTTGGCTGAGCTTCCCAACACCTTGCTGATAATCCCACCCACCCACCACACCCCCACAGACTCCCCTGTGACTGCTTCCAGCATCCAAAGGAGTCCCTGGTTGTTTATTCTTGTGTGTGTATCATTTAATTAACAAACAGCACGTATTTATTAAAGTACTTCAAACAAATAAATTGCTTGTAATAACTTTCTACTTTCAGTTGCTCAGATGTGATCAGGCAGAAAATAGTAGTTTCAGCAAATCAGCTAAAATTATTTATGGTGTGGATTCCACACTGCAAACTGAGCAAGCTTGAAAACCCAATAACAAAGAATGATCCTCCATTGTTCACTTGTTGAATAACCATAACTTCTTAATCATCAAGCTCAGATGAGCTGAGGGGCACAAACTCTCTGATTTTGTAGAACTGATCCCTTTTTCCAGGGGTATCAGCTCTTCAGTTCTTTTCCTTCCCAACCTTTATTAAGTTTGCTCACCTTCGTCTAAAAGCTTTAAAAAATGCACTCAGAAATTGGATGACTCCTGAGATTTCTTTTTTAAAGGATCTCACATAAACCATCTTAAGAAGATAATTATATCTTCTCCATCTTTATAAACGTATAGGTAAAAGCACAAGACAAAATAAAGAGGAAAGGCAAGAACTATCTCAAAACTATCTCAAAAATGTGGCCACTATAATAATTTCTTATTAACTAGATCTAGTGCAGCTAAGACATCAGAGCCATCAAACAGTGAGTCTTTAGTTCAAATGTCACCTCAGCCTGGTATTCACTAGTTGGCCTTAAGCAAGCTATTACTCAGATTCTCCCACCTGGAAAATGGGAATACAAACAGCAACTTGCCTTACAGGGCTGTTGTGAGAATTCAAAGTATATCAAGCACTTGGAACACTCCCAAGTCACTATAAATGCAAGATGCTGCTAAATTATGCATCAGCCATATCACTGAATGGCTGTAGCTATGCTGCGGTGAAGTGATTAGTGCAGCCTTCACAACCTGGTCCCCTCCAGCTGTTTTGGACTACAACACCTGTCAATCTTGACCACTGGTCATATTGGCTGAGGCTGATGGGGGCCAAAGTTCAAAACAGCTAGCACCACACTGGGGAAAGCTGAGTCAAAGCACAATCCTATGCACATTTAGACTGAAGTAATGCCTACATCACAGCTGGCTGGGGAATGCTAGGAGTTGTGGTTTGTTTTCTGTCTAAATATCCATAGAACTGCACTGTGAAAGAATTAGAGAAGGCTGGGAAGACCCAGGTACACATCCCTATTCAGACAGTTCAGTCGCCATCTCCTAAGCTACCTAAGAGGGTTATAAGGAAGATCGGATGGAGGCGAGGGGGATGAAACTTGTAGAGGGCCTTGGACTCCTTGGAGGAATAAGATGTAGCCTAATATACATATTGTGTGACAGATAGATGCCAAAGTGGAAATCCACTGATTAAGCATTCTTTGGTGGTGCCCACAGTAATTTCTCAGATTCCTAAATGTGCCCATGGGTCCAAAAAGGTTGGGAAACCCTGCCAACCCGTTTGAATAACTCATCTCTTAGTAAGAAAGCTCTGTCAAACATCTCTCCACCTTACTCCATGGGCTGCTTCTGGATCAGGACTGCTTGCATGCATTTGTCTACTCTGTTTGCGTCTAGTCCAGGGGTGGGCAACATGTGTCCCTCCAGATGTATTTGCCTGCAACTCTAGTCAGTATAGCCAATGGTGAGATGTAAACCAAAACATATGACGGGGCAGAAACTGCTAGTCCCCACTTTGGACCATATCTGAATGATGGCTGACTGTTTCCTGACCTGGGGACCCTTCTCCTGCCATCACTGCTCAGTCCATCCTAGGACTGAGTCCTCACCACACTCTGGCATCTGTCCATCTTTTGATAGCACAGTCATGATTTCAAGACTCTTTCAGCAAGATTAGAAATCGTACCTTTAGGACTGAACAAAAAGGCATGCTACAAGTAAATGAACAAGATGCTAGAGAAAATGTTAGTAGCATTCATTAACTTCACAGGACAACTATCTTGATTAAGCCCATGCTACACATCCAAAGGTGTATCACTGCAAAGGCATATTTAAGTCTCATTAGACTTGCATGTATGTAATCGTATTTTGCTTTGTGTTTTGAAAGAGTGTCCAGTGGCAGAAAAGCTCAATTAATTTACTACTGTATGAACTTCAGTAGGGAAAACCTACTTCATCAGGTGCACAAAATGGACACATGCAATTTCACTAAAAGAAAGATGCATTTTAATCAAATCATCTGGTTTCAGTAACTTTCTAAACTGGCAAAAGCAAAAGACAGAGGAATTATGTATACTGAGCAGGGCTGGGAAAAGGCCTGCATAATCCTCAGAAAAAAATCTCTATAGCTCATTAGTAGCTGACAAAAGATACCAACAGCATTAATTTCTCACAAGTCCCTTGCAATTCATACAACCTGTTATACTTTGAAATAATTTTGCTTTGGAAATATTACAATGAAACATAAGGCTACTTCTAGTTTAACAGTATGACACATAATATGGTTCAGCTTTACAGGTTAGAATTTAATTTCCTGTTTCGCTTCTCTGTTTAATGTATTTCCATGCTTGCCTACAGCAATATATAAATTTCAGTCCTGAAGGAGGGATATCACTCTTCAGAAAGGAAGCTACATATCGTATCAACGAGATTTCTTCCTCTGAAAGAACATCCTGTGTGTTTCAGTTATTAATCTGATAAAGTAAACTACCATAGGTCTTTTAAATTAGAGCCCAAAGGCCCAAAGACAGCTAACATTTCTACAAAGTGAACACAACCCAGGGCTGCAGCAATCTAAAATGTCCATCACTTAACAAAGAAATTTTTTGACTATCCCAAAGAAAAAAATTCTCAGGAAAATGGAATTCAAGCATGGTAACTGAGTCAGAAATAAAAGATGGGAAAAGCAGACAACTCTTCTGTAAGCTCTTGTTCTCATCTTGATAGGCAACATATGTCCAAGAGTGTTTATGGCCCAGTGTTGCCACTGAAAGAGCTTTGGCCACTCTAACACAGGTCAAATAATGCATTCCCTTTGGTGTAATTTGTCAGGGGCCATACACTGGCAGAGGGCATAGGGCCAGAGAAAGTGGCAGGTCAACCCTTTTTCCCTTTCTGCCTCCCCATTTTCTCTCTCTGTCTCTTCCTTCCCAAGCAGTACACAGTTTAAAGAGTAGTGGTCTTTATGAGTTTTAGCCCTGCCAAGAGTTCATACAATTGCAGTTG